AGGACCCATTCTTGTCAAATATTGATGAAGATGAATTTAGTAAACTCCCAAATGCCACTTGTGAGGCTTGGTGGAGAAAGTACACGTCTTTCTTGTGTGGGCAGTCGAACTTGAAAAGTGTGAATCCATATTGGTCGGTTGCTATTGCTGCTGCTGTTGTGGGGCTCGTGATCGTTGGTCACAGATGGCAGCGTGAGAATTTCTCGCAGGCTTTTCGGATTAAGTAAACTGTTAGCTGTTAATAGCAAGTTTTACTATAATTTTTCTCAGGTGCTAGGGAAAGCTAGTTACTTGGAGAGGTCCTTTTTATATCTTTGATTGTCAAGAACTTACACAAATTGCTTCATTAGTTAGGCTTTTTTACATTCTATTTGCAAGGACTTGTAGGTAGTGGTGTTTGGTGGCACGTAAATTATAAATGTGAGGCGGCCATCAGGCGACGCGTCGGCTCTTCATATCTTTATAAAATAAGATGCATATTTATGAAATGTTCTTTTATGCGAGAAATGTAGTCACGTACACGGATTCGTTGGCCAAAAACTCGCCGCCGATGGGTTTGAGTTCGGGTTGCAGTTTTTAGACAATGTTGTGTTTGTTTTTTGCAAATTTTCAAAAGATCGAGTGAAATTGCCCAAAATTGTAAGGTCTTGATATTACCGTCAATTAGGCCTTTTATATTTAAATAATCTATAACGTAGATAAGCCTCACTATATGATATATATCCCTAGTTTTATACTTTTCGAGTGAACTTTAAACTGCCGTACTTTAAAAATTAACTCAAATAAATATATATGCTTCATTCATAGTGTAAGTATATATTTTTGTTGGTTGGGCAATTATATATTCTCCATATATTTGCATATTTTTAAATTAAAATATTTTGCTCATTGACATGTCTATTTATTATTATATTACTACTAAAAAAAGAAGAAATAAACTTATATTCCAACCAATATAATAGGGTGTGTTTGGTAAACCTAGCTGAAAAGCTAGCTTATATGATAAAAGTGTTTGGTAAAACTAGCTTATAAGCTAGCTGAAATAAAAAAGTCAACTAGCTTATTTTGAAACGCTACCTAAACAAGCTTATCAAATAAGCTCGAGCTTTTTAAATAAGCTCGTCCTATCAAACAAGGCTTAGGGTGTGTTTGGTAAACCTAGCTGATAAGCTAGCTGATAGCTTATAAGCTAGCTGGTAGCTGATAAGCTATAAGCTAGCTTATAGCTTATAGCTTATGATTTATAGCTGAAAAGCTAGCTTATATGATAAAAGTGTTTAGTAAAACTAACTTATAAGCTAGCTGAAATAAAAAAGTCAACTAACTTATTTTGAAACGCTACCTAAACAAGCTTATCAAATAAGCTCGAGCTTTTTAAATAAGCTCGTCCTACCAAACGAGACTTATTTGATACAGAAAGCTTATAAGCTAACCAAATAAGCTATAAGCTAGCTTATTATACGTGTCAAACACACCCTTATTTGATACAGAAAGCTTATAAGCTAACCAAATAAGCTATAAGCTAGCTTATTATACGTGTCAAACACACACATAATATAATTGCTAAAAAAGAATTGCATAGGGTTATATTTATTTATTAGAAAATGTAAATATGACGCAACATAATAGTCCGCTGGCGTAAGCCTCACCTGCAAAAAAATTTCACCTTGAAAGCGCATCCAATCACGCACGCACACAAAATAAAACACACAGCGACAGATATATATCAACAGTTTGAATCTGACCATCCATAGATTCCGTTCACCGTGAAACGAATAAACGGAAAAAGAAAAAAAAGTATATGAAAAAACAGTTAGTAAAGAGTTACCCCATTTTTATCAATTTTATCCATTTTTTTTTTTGTTCCAGTGGGCGAGCGCCATTTTCAGAATTCAAGCTCTGGCTCTGATTGCGAAATTTGAATCTCTGCTCGGAGTAAACTGTAACGGGTTTGTTTGGGTTTGCCAGTTTCAGGTAGGATTATACATTTTTATGTGCTTTTCATTGAATGCGTGAAAAAAAAAAAGAAAAAGACTTCGAATCTTGCTTAAAGATTTGATTTTTATGTTGTTTCCTGTGTTTGATGGAAGGGATGAGCTGGCCCAGATGGTCATTGTTTGTCATGTTGCTTGCTTTGCTGTTATATGGTTTATTGGATGGTTTGTTTTGAATTGGGAATGGGAATGGTAGGGATTGGGTTGAAATTGGGGATTTAGGGCTTGAGAGAGAGAGAGAGAGAGAGAGAGAGAGAGAGAGAGAGAGAGAGAGTTGTGCTAGCTTTTGATGAGTGAATGTGATGCAGATTTTCTTGGTAGGCTCTAAAGTTTAACAAATGTGGTCCATTTTTATAGCAGTATTATCGATGTTTGATCTTTGTAATGTCATGTCGTGTTTGAGTAGTTGTTATCTAACGCAGCTTATATCGGTATAGAATTTTGTTTCACAAGAAATCATCTTTCCATAAGTCTACCATGTCGAATTGTTGGAAAATAGTTCAATGATTTCCTTCTTATAGTCTTTCTGAAAGACAATATCGGTTTTTTCATATGGTACAGTGGTTCACGTGGACTCTGCTGGTGTGCCATTGAATTTGGATTTGTGGAGATGGTTTTTTCTTGCTGTTAATTAAGTCATTTTTCTTATGGAGCTCTGGTGGGAACAGACATAGGAGTTTTGTTAAATGATGGTTGTGGAGACTTTGAAATTTAGTATAGGAGTTTTGTTAATTCCCAACATGTTGGGAATATACTGGGTATGTTGATGTTGATGTTGATGTTGATGAAGTGAGAAAAACTAAATTGTAGCTGAATTAATATCACTAGCCTTTCTAGGGAAGTATTAGAGAACATTTTGAAGCGTTGAGAACCAAAATTTATCAGAATAGATTTGATTACAGCATTGCACTATTCTTAGGACTGCGGAATCTTATTTAATGTTAAATGATACATATGATTTTTTCCATAAATTTAACTCGCACGTGTCTATAATGGTGGGTATAAGATAAAATACACTTTTATGGCCCTTGAGTAAGTTTGTCTTAAGATGCAAGTCAAATCGACCAAAGCACATAATATCTTTTAACTTCTGCCGCCCTTCAATTGTTTAATCTTAAGTTTGTAATCAGAAGGAAGATATCAGTTTCTTCATTTGTACAATTTTTTTGCACATCCTTGTGTTTGGGATGTTAGCATACATATTCTTGTATGAAGTGTATATTTTGAAGAAATTACATTAGCTTTTAGGAACTGTCGAATGGATTTTACATTTAAAAATACACCAATCATGCCGTGCCTATGTATTATCTCAAGAAACACTGATTATTTTTTTCGCTAAATATGAGGCATTGGTTAAAAATTTTGTGAGACTAGATCTGTAGAAATTACTAAAGGCTTAATACTGATGCTTGTATTATTCGTTGCAGGTTAATCGTTGGGAGGTTTCTTTATTCAATTTTTCTTCCTCACAATTCAATTACAATGACAGAAGCTGATAGCGAAATAATAAAACCGGAGGTATACTTTACACGACTTTCTTTCACATTCATCATTACTTCCATTGCTGTAGAATTTCTCTCCTCTCAATTACTGCCGACTTAGATTAGTTGCTATGCAATGACTTGCTAGATGCTGAAGGCCTATGTGTGGCTTCAAACTTCTGATGATTCAATACAGCAAGTTGAGCAAGAGGTTGCTATGTATTGTCCATTTATATGTCAAGAAATACACTCGGGCATGGGATCCTCAAAGAATTATCCCATCTCTCTTCCTTCGAGGGTTAATCCTCCTATGCTGAGCTTGATTCTTGATTACTGCCGGTTTCATCAAGTACCAGGTCGTTCTAACAAGGTCAATACGTATTTCTTTAACTCCACAAATTTCATGTTTTTTTTTTTTCCTCAACCTAAGTTAATTTTACAATTGCGAAGAAGAACTTCAAACCCTCATCAGAGGAAAATTAAGGGTGTGTTTGTTTATGAATAAATTCAACTCGTTCTCAATTCGTACTCAAAATCTAACTTAACTTTAACTTAACCCCATTATTCTTAAAATTATCATTTCATTTAAATAATACCAATCAATTTTTCTTACACATCACATCAACCTTTTTTCACTATTTATCTACTCACATGATTTTAACTAACCATCATTTCACATCATTTATCTCCTACTTTTGTATCAAATTAACTTTAATGATTTTATTTCAAATATTTTTATAAACTCAAAATTCCACTAACAACTAACCATACCAACTTTTTCAAAATTAACTCTAAACCGAAAAAACTTGTTTTGAGCGGATATATTTTTATCCAAACACGCCCTAATTTTTTATGTTGTGTATACTCTGTTGCAGGAAAGGAAATCTTTCGATGAGAAGTTTGTTCGAATGGACACTAAAAGGCTTTGTGCACTCACTTCTGCTGCTGACAGCCTGCAGCTGAAACCATTAGTCGATATCACTAGCCGAGCTCTTGCACGGGTGATCGAGGGGAAAACTCCTGAAGAGATACGAGAAATATTTCGTCTGCCCGATGATCTAACAGAGGTGTTCTGGCTTTGCAAGCGGTGTACATGCTTATTATCCTTTTTTTTTTTTTTTTTCTTTTCTGGGAGAGAAGTCTATCTTTCTATCTCATCTGTCTTATATATTGTTATCCTATTGATACAGGAAGAAAAATTGGAGCCTATAAAAAACGCCATGGATGATCCGAGGATTCGACTTTTGAATAGATTGTATGCTAGGAAGAGGAAAGAATTAAAGGAGAGAGAGAGGTTAAAGGTGATTACGGTGTTGTTTGTGAATCATTGTGTAATTTTCAGATAAAATAAGCAAGGTGAAATGATTACTCACCTTTGGGCGATGCTTATGTGGGTTTACTTAAAGACTGAAAAAGTGGCTTTCATGTGTTCTGTAGAATGTTGACGCTGAAGAGGAACGTGCAGATAATCGTTCGGTGGATGACCTCTTATCATTCATTAATGGAGGCAATGAAGGTATTCTGGTTGTTTCACTTTTGTGAATTCATTTCCTTATTCTTATAAAGTATGGATTAAAGTTGTAAGTTTAACGCTTAGTGATATTGTACTTGATGTGTGTGTGTGCGTGTGTGTGTATTTTTACCACCATAAGTAGTTTATGAATTTTTTTTGGTAGATTTTGTAGTTCGTGGTTAACTCGGTATGTTGTAGAATATGATGATGAATATCTATGCAGGACTTATTGATATTAGTGCTTATGCCCTTTGTTTTTCCTTTATTTTTATAATATGTTGATTTGTATTGTATTGATTTCTAGAGGATATGTGGTGTTAGTATCGATTGTTTTCACTTTTTTCCTTGTGTTGATATAATATGGTTCACTATTAATTTTGCTAAACTAGTAGTGGTAAATGAAAATATTGTTTTTTTTTTCTTGCCATACAATTCTTATGTTTCTCTACTCTACTTTTCCCTCTGCTTAAATAGTCAACACTTTGATTCTAGGTTTAGTTAACTTTATCGGCAGATGTTGAGCTTTATTGTCTCCATTTATTTGCTACCTCTCAAGTGAAGTAAATGTTACTGAATTGAACCTAGATCGATCTCGATCATTCATATAATGTCCAATTGTTGCTACGTATTTTAATTCGAACCATTTGTTGCGTACGTTATTTTGCAGATTCTAAGGGGACTAGAACTTCAAAAAATAAAAAGAAAACCCGCAAGAGGAAAGACCAACAAAAGACCCCTGATTCAAATTGCACTAGTACTTCAAACAGCACCTCTTCTTCAAGCAATGTTGTAGATACAGACAGGAAGGTGAAAAACATTTTACTTTTTCTTCTTTGTTTCAAAACTTTCCAAACGAAATGATTGATTTTCTCGGTCTCCGTTTAATCTTGTGATAGAGAAGCTCAAGACAGATGGAATCTATGCTAGTCTCTTAAGGTGTTGTTTCCATTGATGTCCTATGGTGCAGGAATCAAATGAGTTTGATTCGGCTTGTGGCAATCCGTCGTTGGACTGTAGCACAACAAAGTTGCTACCCGTTGAAGATGATGGGTTAGCTGCAGAGGATGAGTTTGACGATTGTGATTTAGAGGATGATATTGACCCTGCATTGAAAGAAAAAATCGATAGGTGAGCTTGATGCTTTTCGGTGTTTTTGACCTGGTCCAAGTGAACCTTGAAAGGCTAAAAGTCTTGGTTTTTGTGTTGCATAATAATTTAGGCTATGTTTGGTAAACCTAGTTGATATGCGAGCTTATAGCTTTTAAGTGAATTTCGAGCTTATAGCTGATAGCTTATGACTTGTGGTTGAAAAGATAAAAGTGTTTGGTAAAATTAGCTGGTAAGCTAGCTGAAATAAAACTTCCAATGGGTTTATTTGAAAAACTACCCATTGAAGCTTATGAGATAAACTTTAAAGCTCGTATTACCAAACCGAGCTTATTTGGATACAAGAAGCTTATAAGGTAATGAAATAAACTATAAGTCAGCTTATATGCTTACGAAACACAACCTTAGTCCCTATGAAGAGAGTTAGAACTTAGAAGAAGAAAGTAACAGTGTTTATGGCCATATAATTTTTTTTTCATGGATTAAATCGTTTGCGGTAATTCTTTACGTTGTTCGAAAATTAATCAGGGAAGTGGAAGACTTTGCTAGAAGGTTAAATTCAGATTGGCCAGAAAGAATGCAAGAGATCCTCACTTTAGGTCAAGAGAGAAGACCATTACAGTTGACAATCAATGGAAATGGTTCCTCGAAATTTACAAGTACGTTTCGTGTTACTGTTTTTTTTTTTTTTTTTTGGTTATAATATTAGTGTAAATAAACGGTCGAAAGATACAGTAGTTCTTTATTATTTATTTTTGGCTAAATTGCAGATTAATTCACAACCTTTGCTTCGTTTTCAATCTAATCTCATCCTTCCAATTTAGCAATAGAAGGAACGAGCTTCTGATTTTTTTTCCAAATCGAAACACGCTGTCATATCTAACCTCTTGTGTTGCAATTTAGCCATTTATTTTTGTTTTTAAGGAAAAAAAAAGGGGCTTAACCTCAAACTACAGCCTCGACTTTGTATTTGAGTGACTTAAATATTTTTGCATGAAATGTTTTGACCTTTCTATTTCATCACAGGTCAGCATCAGAAATGATCGGTCGCCACATCGAATCAATTTGAAAATCAAAATTCGACCGATCGGGTCTGAACATCCGAAGACAATGGAAACATGCGATACGCGACCGCATCTCAAAATTTTTTGGATGATCGTTAAAAGTTCATTTCTTAAATCATTTTTTGAGATGCCATAAACAGCCAATTTTGCCTCTCTTTGTTCTCTCCTCATTTTTTTGGCCCATGAAACTTACAGATAGAACTTTTGTTTGTTGTTAAGTGAGTTCAAAATTGAAGGTGTTGTAAATATAAGCAAAGTATATGTGATTGTACTGGTGAGTGGTGTGTCTATTTTTATTATTTTCTTAGTTTATAATGTATTTTTCTTTTCACTTTGCAGTTTTTTCCTAGTTTAGCTTTAATTGAAGAATTAATTTGTTCCAATATATTCATTTGAGATATTAAGTGATATTTTAATTTATTTGTTTCTTAAATTCAAGATTTCTCATGATTTTTCGATTTTTATTGGAACCTTTAGAAATCATAAGATTATGAGTGGTATTTGAGTCAGGTATTAGAAATCTTAATCTTAGTTCATTTTGAGATATTATGATTTATAGTTGAAACGCTAGCTTGTTTGATAAAAGTGTTTGGTAAAATTAGCTAAGCTAGCTGAAATAAACATTTCATCGAGCCTATTTGAAGAGCTATCCAAAAAATTTATGAGGTAAGCTCGAGCTTTTAAAAAAGCTCGTCCCAGATGAATCTTATTTAAATACAATAAAATTTAGCAAATAAGCTATTGCTACCAAACATTAGGCTTAATGTGTTTGCACCCGACTTTGGGCCCCAGCCAAATTTTAGATTGAGCCCATTATGTTTGGAGCACAAATTGGCCCATATAGGTCCTCTGAGTCGACTGCTACTTCTCTAGGGATGGCAATGGGTGACAAACCCGCTGGGGGACCCCCCCGTCACCCGTCCCCATTAGGAAAAATACCCCCGTCACCCGCCCCATCACCCGTCTCGGGTCCAAATTTCCCCCAGACCCGGCACCCGTGTGGGTGACGGGTACCCATCGGGTGACTTAGACCCAATTTCACTCAATAAAAGCAACACAATGACACAATTATAAGATAATCATAGATAAAGATCATTGTTCACATACAGCTTAA